CGTCCGTCCCGCCCGGCCCGCGACGGACGCTCGGGTCCGTTCCCGGCGACGCGTTCCGGGCCGCGTCCAGCCTGGCTTTGTAGCGGTGTCGGACGCTCCCTCCGTGCGGCCGCCGCGCTTTCGCTCCCGGGGCGCGCGGCTTACACCGCTCTGCCGTTCCCACGTCGTCCTTCAGGATCGGGACCGTTTCTCCCGCCTCAGCCACCATCGTGTGTTAGAAGTACGCGAGTGGTAGATGCGTGGAGTGTCCTGTGCCTTTCAGACCCTGTCGTGTGTTTTCTCGTTGGGTGCTGAGTGGCCCTCACCGCCGTTCTGACTGCTCTGGGAACAAAGCGCTCCCCAGGCCCCAGACCACGGAGTTTGGGAACTGCTGGTGTCAGCACTTTCCGGTGAGAAGTTGGGTTGGGGAAGCAGTTCGGATTGCAGGCGGAGGGACAGTCGTTCCAGTGAAACCTTTGCTTTGTTTTTTAGAACCTGGACGAAGGTTTTGCTCCCGTTCCCCAGGTCTCCCACTCCGTCACGTCTTATGGCAATTCTTGATTTTTCCTTTAGACGGTTTTGTTGCGGTTGCTGTGTTTGTGCATGCGTGGGTGAGGGAACGTTTTGACTCGCAGAGTGATCTTCAGTATCAAATCAAACGTACAGAAGAGAGCGCGTCATTTAACTGCTGTTGCGTTTCTTGTTGGATTGGTTGTACTTAATTTGCTCGGAGGCTGCTTTTTTTTTAAAGTCTCTTCCATTGAGAGAGAGAAAGAGCGAGCGAGGGGAGGGGCATCACTTTCAAGGTCCCCACACTGTAACCCGCCCCCAGGCTCTGCCAGTCCAGACCTTGGGGCGTCCCAGAGCACCAACCCAGCACCATTGAATATGGGTGCAGTTCTCTTACCTCTGCACCACTGCCTGTCTTGTTTTGAGGCTACCTTTATTTTCTAATTAAATTTTTGTTTTGTGATAATTGTAAATGCACACGCGGTTGTAAGAAATAATAGGGAGAGTTCTCTTGTTCTCTACCCAGTTTTCCCTGATAGTATCTCACAAAACTATAGGATACTATTACTAGGATACTGACATCAGGAAAGTGCAGATTAAAGGCCTTTTCCATTACTGCGTGGATCCCTGTATTTGACCTTTTATAACCACAACCACTTCATTTCTGGCCACTGCTTCTGTAATCCTGATAATCAATAATTTGTTTTCTTACTCCTATGATTTTGTCATTTCAGGATTGTTACACAGTATAGTGGAGTCACTCCGTGAGTAACTCTTGGGGATTAGATTTTCCTTCGTTCACCCAGGTTCTCTGGTACATCCAGCTTGTTGCAGTGTGTTGGTCAGTATTTGCTGAGTAAGTGCTCCACGGTATGGATGTACCACACTTGGACAGACATCTAAGTGGTTTCCAGTTTTTTCCTGTTATGAATAAAGCTATTATACACATTTACATACAGTAATTCATAATGGAACATAACATGAACATAAGCTTTCAGTTCTCTGGGAGAAATGCCCAGAAATACAATTTACCGGGTCACATGGTAGTTTCCTAAGAAATTCCGAACAGTGCCTGAGTGACTGTACTGTATTCCAGCCGCACCAGCAGTGTCTGAGAGATCCAGTATCTCCACATCTTTCTGAGCATTTCGTGTTGTCCCTTCCCAACTTTTAATTTAGCCATTCTGATCTATAGTCTTTTCTTCTTGTGGTTTGATACCGCATTTCCCTACTGGCTTATGTTGAGTATCTTCTCCTGGGCTTATTTGCCATGTTTGTCCTCTTTGGTGAAATATTTCTTCATTTTTTGGATACGTTTTCCAATTACACTTTTTTCCTTTCCTTTTTTTTTTTTGCTGTTGACTTTTCTTTTTCTTTTTTCTTTTTTTAATTTGCTAGAGAGTATGTGTATTCACTGGAGAGAGAGAGAAAAGGTGAGAAAGCACTCCCTATGAGGGATGGCCATGTTTACGTTGCAATCCCGTCTCCACTTCTCCATCCAGTTGGGATTTGAGGCATGTGTGCCCACTGTGTCCCTCAAACCACCAGGTCTGGGACTTGAACTGTGTAGTCAGGCATGTGGTATCCAGCTGCCTTAAGCACAACACTACTGGATTTTAGCATTTCTTTTTTAACTTTTCTTTTTTTAAAATTTTTGTCTTAGGGTGTGAACATATACCAGAAACAGAGAGAGAGAGAGAGAGAGAGAGAGAGGAAAGTGAGAAAGCACCCTCTAGGGGGATGGCTGTTTTCCTCTCAGAATTTTGGGTATGCACATACACATGCCTGGTGTGTTTTTCAAGCCACCTGGCTGAGGAATCCAACTGCTAAATTAGCCATGTGGGATCTAGCCACCTTGACCTCCACACCTTCTACTTGCCCTCTTCAGCATTTTTTTAAAGTTTGCTAGTTACTACTAATTTTTTAAATACGTAGTTTGCAAGCGTTTGCTTTCAGAATGTAGTCTGTCTTTTCATGTTCTTAATAGGATCTTCTGTTCTACTTGCTAGAGACAGAGACAGAGACAGAGAGCTAGCTTCTCCCAGTGGGACCAGGAAATGCTACAAATCCTATTTCCTCCATTTCTCCACTTGGTTAGGATTTTGGACATGCATGCACAGGTGCCTAATGTGTTCTTTGAGCCACTGCCTGGGCCAGGACTCAAACCACAGTTGGGTATGAGTCCTATTCCATATGTACAGGATTTAACTACTATGTGCTATTGGGTTGATCCTCTTAATAGGATCTTTTGCAAAACAGAAGTTTTAAATTTTCATGAAATTCCATTCAATATTTCCTGCCCACAGCCTGTTTGAGTTAATTTTTCTCTAAGGTGTCAGACTGGCTCTGAGGACCTTCTCGGCCTGTAGATAGTAGTCGCTCCAGCATCATTAGTTAAGAAGATCTTTGTCCTATTGAATTGTTACTGTACTTTTGTCAAAATTCAGTTGACCATATATGTGTCTATTTCTGGGTTCTGTGTTAGCATAGTATTGATTCCTGTAGGTATTTACATCTTGAAATAGGGTAGAATAATTCTCTCTTCCATTTTATTCTTTTGTTGTGGTTTTGTTTAATGCCAGAGAGGGTGTTTGTGCTCATTGGAGAGGAAAGACAGAGAGGGTGAGAGGAAAAAGCTTCCCCAGTGAGGAGCGGTCATGCCACAGTCCTGCAGTTTTCAGCGCACACACGTACCTCGCATGTTTCTCAGACCACTGATTCTGAGACTCGAACCATGTGGTTGCCTACGTAGGATCCGGCTGCCTTAACCAGCAGGTTATGGAACTGGCTCTTTTTTTTTTTTTTTAAAAACAATGTTTACCCATTCTAGTTCATGGTCTTTCCTTATACATTTCAGAATCATTTTATCTCTGTCTATAAAGAATCTTGCTGGGATTCGGAATGTTAAATCCATATATCTCTTTAAAAATTTTTTAATTTAAACTTTATTATTAGTATTATCTTCCAGTTTGAACAGAGAGAGACAGAGAGAGAGAGAGAGAGAGAGAGAGAGAGAGAGAAGGAAAGTGCCACCAGGTCCAGGACTCCAACCATGGTCAGCCATGTGGGATTCTAGCGCCTTTAACCACCACACCACCTGCTGACCCCTAAATCCATGTATCAATTTAGAGAACATTGTTATTTCTACTATGTTGAGCCTTGCAAGTCGTAAGCATGGTATTTGTCTTCCTTTCTTTGTTTTCTTTGATTTCTTTGATTAGTATTTTAATAGTTTTCAGCAAACAAGTCTTACATGTTATATTAGACTTAGGGTCTAAGTACTTTTTGAGCAATTTATAATGATAATTGTTTAGGGGGAAGGATTTTTGCTATAGGGCACATGCGCTTGCCAGAGAGAAGAAAGCAAGAAATTACCCTCCCCTCCTCCCCATTGGGGATGGCCATGCCGTAGTCCCTTCTCCTCCACTCTCTTGGTATTTTGGGTATGCATGCACACAGACACACATGCCTGATGTGATTTTCAAGTCGCTGGGTCTAGTACCTGAACCGCGGTTGACCATGTGAGAGTCCAACGCCTTATCTGCTATACCACCTGTTGGCCCCAAAATGATAATTAATTACTTTAAAAGTTCGTCATTCACATATTCACTGCTAACATATTGTAGTACAGTTGATTTCTTTCTTTTTTCTGGAGAGTTTTTTTTTTTTTTTGACTGTAGGGCACGTGCACTCACCAGGAAGACAGAGAGACAGAAAGCGAGAAATCATCCCCCAGGGGGGATGGCCACGCCACAATCCCTTCTCCTCCATTCTCTTCTTGGGATCTTGGGCACGCATGCACACGCACCTGGTGTGAGTTTAAGCCACCTGGTCCAGGACTGGAACCATGGTCGATGTGTGGGAGTCCAGCGACAGCCATTATGCTAACTGCTGGTCCCTACAGTTGATTTTTGTATATTTATCTTGTATCCTTTTGATTTTGTTAAATTCATTTCTTCTGAATTGGAATTCTTTTAGACTCCTTGGGCTACCCCTAACACACATCATCGGTACTGTACCGATGAGTTAGCAAGGGTCAAGGGAGGCACATCTGCACAGTGGTGCCAAACCCCAGTCACCATGCTGTGATGCTGTGAACACAAAACGATCTCCTTGGAATCCTCTTCAGAGTTAGTCATGTCATCTGGGGACTAGCAGTTGGTGTAATGGCTATTTCGCTGGACTCCCACGTAGTCAACTGTGGTTTGAATCCTGGACCTGTGGCTTAAACTCATGCGTGTGCGTGTGTGCCCAAGATCCTGAGAGGAGAATGGATGAGAAGGGATTGTGGTGTGGCCATCCTCCATGGAGGATGATCTCTCTCTCTCTATCTCTCTCTGTCTTTCTGGCGAGCACATGCTTCCTATAGCAAAAACCTCTCCAAAATAAATACATACATACATACATACATAAAAAGAGTTAATCATGTCATCTGTAAGTATTGGACTGCTCTATTTCTTCCTTTCCAATCTGTATGCCTTTTTCTCCAGCCTTATTTTTCTAGGTAGATTCTTAGCACTATGTTGAATAACACTGGAAAGTGAAGACCTTTCCTTGTTTCTGATACTGGTGGGAAAGCATTTAGTCTCTCACTACAGCTGTGGGTATTTTCATAGATGCTCCTATCCCTGGGAGGATGGGCATGCACAAATGTGCTCTGGGTGTGTTTTTCAAGCCACCAGGTCCGGGACTTTAATACTGGTTCACCATGTGGGAGTC